ACTTGCTATTTTTTCCCCTATTTTTAATCAGGTTTTCAAGAAACTGGATCAAATAGGAAAATGATTATCCAAATTAAACCAACAGAAGGAATTCATCCTTCACTAAGAGACTGCCAACTTCCATATCCAAATAATAAAATAAACTTTTCACTTTAAGAATTAAAATAAACTTTTCACTTTAAGAATTAAGTGCTAAATTAACACAAAAAATGATTGAATGATCAGACATTCACTTATTCCCTGAAGTTTCATCTCTTCTTTAGGATTCTCAACTCAGTTAATTCCTAAATTTACTTCCCTCAGTATTTGAGTCAGTGTATTTTGTCAGGGCAAAGTTCACCACCAGTACTAATTGCTCCCTTTTTCTTTCTTCATCCTATCTTCATCAATGCCTAGCAGTAGCGGAATCTCTCAGAAACAAGAAATTTAACGTTGCAAAACTAGCTCACTAATTCCAGACCCTCAAGAAGAAAATCTTTCTCTGTACATAATCCACTGTCAGAGTCAAGATCAGACAGAAGTGCTTACCTTCAAGGCTGACTCAGATTTGTGTCTGGTCTTTCATTCCTTAGATATGAAAAATACAGAATTTATATATGAGTACAGTTTTAAGAACAATTAAAAAACTGATTCAACAAAAGCAAGGCCTCTAGGAATGTTGAGAGCTTTTATTAAAGTTGTATGCTAAATGCCTTTTCAAGCATGTGACCCCATTTGCTACGCTGAGAAGGTTATACTTCATCAATAATGGCTAAATATCCACTATAAATGGATAAAGGACAATCTGACTGATGAAAAAGAAGTCTGAAATAATTTCTATTCAATACTGTCTTTTGACATTTTTTCTGAGCCTCCATTTAAGTGTTTCTTTGTGTAGTGAAAACAACGAAAGCTTAAATCTAAGCTCAGTTTTCTATCCAGACACCATCCACAGAAACATGTCTTGAAGTTCAGCCTCCTAGCAATGCACTAGAATAGTAAGCAAACCTCAAAGGAATGATGCTCACTATTCTCAGCCACCTTTTACAATGCATGGGAGAAAAGAGGATAACATGCAGTCTACCTTTTTGAGTACTTTTACTTGCTAAGATCCTCCTTGATGTGCAAATTCATACAGACACATGGACATCATGTATATAATTAAATATAACAGATGTAATTTGATAAAATATACTATGAACAATCACTTTAGAATATCTGTATCCCAGATATATTTACTTACATTCTCTCTACTTGCATGAATTAAAACAAAATTTTCAGTTGTTTTCATACAGACTTCTTCAGAAATTAACTTTATGGTCATAAATCACCTCTGATTACTTTAATAGGGTCATTTTGAATGTGAAGATGCCTTTATAAGTTCATAAATTTTCTTGATAATTTTATGCCTGTGGCTTGTATACCATAATTCTGACAATTGATGCACGTGACATTATGTCATAAATTACCACATTATTTTGGCATGAGTCTCAGTGCTCAAGAACATCGTCTCTATTATTTGAATATGTAACATATCTGAAAGGATACATATATGCAGGATTCAACACCAAAAATGAAAGAACACTTCGAAATAAACAAATGTTCAGAAAGGTATGAGAACTGGAATCTTCCTGATAATTTGAGATGCGACTAATTGAAAGAGAAAAAATCCTTGATGCCCAACACTTTGAAGCATTCTTGAGAGTCTAGTGTATATATAAATATATATAAATCCCATATCATTAGAATACCTTATATAAGATTTCAAATGACACAAACGTGTCTCACTTAATACTTCACTTGTTATTTAAGCATAAAGAAAAACAAACAGTAACTTCCACTTTAAAGTTAGTCTAGGTGCAGAACTTTCCCTTATGAAATTTATAAGGCTTAAGATAAAATCTATAGTATGAGTACTTTTAATATTTTGTGCCATATTTGGGGGAAAATCCAATAGTCTTGGTAATGATATAAAAAAAAACAGATGATATAAAAACCATTATGAACATAGCCCACTGATACTGAACATAATTAGTTCTTAGGCTTTTAAACTTGCACATATTTATGTTTTTACATCTGAGTAGGTCCACTGAAATCAATCAAATATATCAAATAAAATTAAATCAATTTGTACAGATTATACACCAAATCAAATTATGTTAGATTATACAGCAAATAAAAAAAACCCTTCTCCAACAAAAATAGCCCATTCAATACAAAGTGACTGCATATTTTTGATGTAATAGGCTGCAGCTTAATCATTTCAACCTTTAATTACTGCATCAGATAATGAATATTTTGAACATATGCTTCTCCACTCTGGAAGAAGACATGAATGAAACAAGTTTATATGCATGCTATGTGTGTGTGTGTTGGGGGAGGGAGCGGCACACTGAACAGCAAAAGGAACCAAGTGGCAACAATTGGAGGAAATGGTATCTGTAACAGCTGCTCCTTTCAGATTCCCCTAGAAGGAGACTGCCTGAGGTGGACCACAGCACAAAAGGATAAAGAAGATGAAAACTGATGCAAAGCAGGGAAATAACTGCTGAGACCCCTGAGTCTACACCCGAGTAGTCCCAAGCTGTGTGGCAAGACCTCTTTAGCATGCTACAGAAGCTGGTGATGAACTACATATTACCATGAGGCAAACTGGCTCCTAGCAGTATTGTCTGCATGTTATGTGTAATGATAACCAGTAGTCCTTTGGGAGCAGGATGCAATGATTTCATCTCTGTAAGCATCTGAGCTCCCCTTGGATACAGAGACCATTAAACTGAGAACAGAAGGGTAAATTTTAGGCAATGATTTCTAATTGGAGAGTGAAGACAACTTGTGCTCAACAGTACTGTCAACCACTGATATTTTACTGCTGTCTATATTGATCACTGCTAAGCACAAAAGGAACTGAAATGTTACCCCCTTTTCTTAGTCCTATAATGTACAACATATTTTCTGAATGAAAGTACTTTATTGGTTTCTTATATAAGATTATTGGAAATGTCACTATTTTAGAAATCCTTATTTATATTGCAAAATATTAATATTTTCATTACAGGTAAAATACCATTGCATACTCTAATAAAATTTATCTATTTATGTTTTGTACTCCAGAGAATTTTCTTCCCTTTTAATTAAAGCGCATATTGCTTTCCATACCTGTCAACTGTTTTTGTAAGGATAAAAACAATAGGCCCAACCTTTTATGTATACACTTTAAATTAACAGTAGTACATTACAAAATTCAAGGTTCCATAATATTCCTTAAAATAAATATGCAAATAAATTCTGTATGTAAAAAAAAAAAAAAAGAGGAACTTCCAAATTCCTATAACTTTTTGGCAGGGGACATGGGGGAGCAATGTTGGGAAAGGAGTAGCTATAAAATTTAAGGAAAATGGACCCTGAGGAAACAATGTCAGGACATCTAATATTTTTGAAACTTTCAAGGGTAGTTAGATCCCTTTTATAGCATAGAGACTGTGCAGTCTTGTTCATTAATGAATTTATACTGGGAAGAAGAGATCAAATGTGCACAACGGCTTTGTTTAGCATATTTATTTGTCTTACTGCTCTTCATCATCCACGCAACTTATTCTGACTCTCAGAAACTTAACAAGAAAAGTTGATCAGGTAAAAATACCTTCATACTTGTTGGTCAAAAAACAACGCAGATGAAACTCAGCACAAAAACAACTCTATCCTAATCTGTCATACTGTATTGCTTGGGATCAAGTATCTTCCCTTTTATTGCTGTTACAACCCTTAGATACAATTTCATAAAATTTTATGCAGACTTCTCTTTCTGAGATATTTTCATGTTCAGCTACAGACTTGGTCTGAAAGTGATGTGAGAGCAGATTCTCCGGCTTCTTTGACTAGAAATTCACTATCTACAACATAAACATTCTACTTTCCAGAATTCATTTGATTTAGAAGAAAAGGCTATCAACTTTGAAGAATTATATATAAAGATGGTCAGAAACTTTTGGAAAAAATCATATCACAATCATTAAAAGTATATAAGGGCATATTTCAAGAGAAATCTAGAACCCACCCTACTCAGCAGAAGCCAAGTAAGCAATCCTTAAACTCACACTCAATTCACTCTATTACTTCTACTGGTCTCCTTCTGAGAAGGATATACAACCACACACACAAAAAAATGCTCTCTATGAAACATGCTCATTTATAAAATACTGAATCACTGCACAGTTAAAGAAAGAAACAAAAAATTGTCCAGCTGATTAATTGCAATAATCATGGATAAAACATTCAGACAAATACATTTTCCCACATTTTTAAGTGGGTCACTGAAAACTGAGACCTCTCTGATGACTGGCACAGACAAGTCAAGTTGATGCTTATCTTTCTTCTCTCACTGACCTAAGATGAACTACAAGAACCCTCCTTCCAGAGCTGTCACATGCAGAATTCTCACTGTTTGAATTATCGTGTATGGGAGGCTCACGGGAAACACGTGAACAGGAACTTGAAATCACGCCTCAGCAGAAGAGATTCCATCAGCACTACAGCTTTTCACACCAAAAGTAATTCATATTTGTTCTACATAATCTGAAAAGCTATACGTGTGGATTGACATAGTTTTAATTGTTGCTCACAAATGTGCTGTACCAAAATACATTCAACTTTTTTTTTTTGTGTGTGTGTGTGTGTGGGGGGAGGGGTTGTTTTTAATAAAATCATAGCTAAATTAAACTAGGCACAATTATTTTATGTGTGTAAGAATACTGGAAAGAAAAGCTAGTTACATGTAACTTGAGTTGTCGATTTGTATTATTTCTACAGAACCACGCCTGGAAACATAAACTTTGTTCTGGAACTCACTGGAACCAAAGTTGCTTAAGCCATTTGGATGTCTGTCTGCAGAACTAGATACAGCTGTAAAAGGTCTGTGAGGCAAACCTCTCCACACCTTTTCTGCTATATAAAACTCCTACGATGCCAAGGAGGCAGTGAAAAGCATTGGGAAAATTAAAGCAACTTTAAAATAAACTTACTGATAATGCTGTCTTTTCTTCTCCAGCAAAATGATACGCCCAACTTAAGCAATATGCAGCCTCTCCTTCCATCTTTTTATCACCTCCTGAAGAATAGATTGAAGTTACAGTCACCAGTGCAGTCTTAGCAAAATTTCATTAGCACAGACAGGTCTTGCGGTTTATTAAACAAGATGTAGATATTGACATACTATAGCATTTTTTTCCTTTCCCTTACCTTTGCCATTTATATCTTTTTATCCGTCCAAAACAGAGCTGCTTCTATATAGATAATTAAAAACACAGGCCATGGATTTAAACAAAGTTCAATAAGAAAGTTCTACAAAATCAGAGAAAATATCTTTCAGTAAGTAATAAAAGTAAAGTAGTATCTTTCAGTAAGTAATGCAGAACAGTCAATTTAATGTGTTGTTCTCTGATTGTGAACTGTTTAATAATATAAAATAGAATAATAAAAATTTTCCCTTCAGAACATGGGCATCTATTAAAAAATAATTTGTAAGCAAAGCCTGTAGAAATTAACATCTAAAAACATCTTTTGACAACTAAGTAGTAGTAAACTATCTAAAAAGTCTGGAAGATGGTGTTTATTTGCAAGTAATAACTAACTATGTAAAATGAAAAGGCAGACACCCAGCAGATAATATCACTCAAATATTGCCAAATCAACAGTGACTAGATAACAAAAAAACCCTCAACTTCCATCAGTGACTTAATGTCTGATTATGGATTCGCTGTTTAATACCATAATATTTTCCCATAATATCGGGTTTTTGGAATTCCTTTTAGGAATCTAAACCATTCTTTGTCGTCAGCAAGGTCTTTCTGATTTAGTGAGATCTGGAAGCGTAATGATAGCAATTGCCTTTGACTTTCAAAGGAAATAATCACTCAGTTGAACACCTGACACTTCCTACTTCAATCTTGGGAAAATCATGGCATGCACATCAAATAGAGGCACGTGAAAGTTATTCTACACCTACCTGCTTTTGTCATTATGAAAGCTTTTCTTAGCATTTTGATGGCCTGTTCTTGTTCCTTGTTTTCTAGCATTTTGTCTGCTAGTAATGTATAAATTCTCCAAAGGTGCTCACATGCCAGTGAATTGTAAGTACGGCCTGCCTCATCCTTCCATGTTGAGCCCTCTGTTAATTGATAAAATGCTTCATAATGCTCAGCAGCCTTCATGACATGACCTGAAAAATGTGATTCATAATTACAATCAGTGTAATCAACATTTTGAAAAGTTATTAGTGTATAATTATTTTTTATCACTAGAAAGTAAATTGCATCCCAATCATTTCACTGATATTTCAGAAATCTTCAATGTCTAACTATATCTAAGGTGCTGGAACATACTGCCAAATTTCAGCTACCAGTAATATTGCAATTTAAACTTTTCACATTTTAAATTAGTTTTTCTTTATAGATGTTGAACGTCTATGATCCCAAGGGTATTAAGACAGAATTTTCTAGAAAATACATCCATTACAGATTCATGAAGACAGCCTTTGTGGATCTCAAATGAAAAAAAAAAAATCACATGTATGCATAAGCCATCACAGCTCAATCTGTTCCTCAAGTTTCCTTTTCCATAATGAAAACCTGTTGCAATGTGGAAAACAGAGGTATCAAAACTGTGGAAAAGAACCTTTATTTAAATAAATGAATTGATGAAAGACAAAGAAAAACAAATCCTTTATTCAAGGATTATTAGTAGACCAACTCTGGTGAGTCTATGCTGTAAGATTACTGGAAGGGCATGAACCATTAGCACATTAAGTGTTGAGCCTGGAGTAACACACTTTAAGGTCTTCAAATGTAAGCTACTCAAACATCTTTAAGGCGAAAGAAAAAGTTTAATTCACTTGAACATGCAATTAATTCCTCCCTCCCTTGCTAGCTTCAGCTAGATTTTTACATGTAGTCTAGGAAATATCCAGGCTTTCCAGACAGTGGAAATTCAAAGCCCCTTGAAAGAACATGTTTTTTTCTTATACGTAAGGAAACAAGGTTAGAGGAAAACTATTAGAAAGCAGGTAGGTTAAGATCATTAGCATACAAAACACATTCTGGACACAGTACCCTGTTTTACTAAGGATGTTCTATAGCACGGGAGAATTGCGAAGGTAACCCTTCTTTCACCAGTTTTTGTGTCAGAGAGAGAGATGGAGGAGTTACATCCCATGGATAATCAATATATCAATTATTATTTCTATTAAAAGCTGAAGCAGGCAATTAACTAAGTTTGTTTAGATGTGCTTGCAGCTAACGTCTCCTCTGAAACATGATCCATAAAAAATGGATACTGTTTTGAAAGCTTTTTACAGTGCTTGCATTCAAGTTACAAAAAGAACTGGTAAAGAATTGAGAGCCAAGGATGGAAGAAGGATCCTGTTTTCTATTTGTACAAAAGGAAGGGAGAGAAGTTCAGAGAACGGCCTGCTTTAAGCACTGTAAAGCAAAACAAGGCTAATCCCCCAGGCCTCCAGCCAACCCAACAGTGCCCAAGAGTGAAGTGCCAGCTGTGAGGGAGGACATCCTACAGCTTGCCTTACTTGGTTCTGCCACAGCAGAGGACACGTTTTGAAGAGATGGCCCAAGATATTGGAAAAAGTCTTACTGCCACAGTAGGTACAAGACCCCATGAACTGACAGGAAAACATGTATATATTTTTTCCAAAATATCATGTACTTGACACAACACCAAACAAACAGAAATGCAAAGTGAAATTATCATGACCAAACCCAGTTTAGTTTAAGGATTGAGTGCTGGTAGATGGAACAAGAAATGGAGATGCAGATGTGCTAAACCCAGATCACTTTCCATTCTAAAGAGAATTCCAAATTTTATTTGGGTTTCTGCCTATCCAGATAACTTCTTAGGGGAAGTCCAACTCAGAAATCAACAGAATTGCAGTTACCCAAGTTGCTAAATACAGACCTTAGATACTAATTGAAGAAACTGGTATTGGCTTTCTAACAAAGAATGGGAAGGTAAGTTCAACAAGTTGATCTAGCATTCTATCCACTTGGATACTCACAAGAATAGTGTCCTCCTTGGAATTCTCCCCAAAGTCTACAAACCAACAAACTGTCTCTTCCAAAGGATATAGCCATGCATTTATGTGCTCTAGTTTTACCACACCTGTAAAGGATTTTCTAGAATAAAAGAGTTTAATTCATGTATAACTCAAAAACTTCTAGTAAGAATGGGAAACAGTAAACAAATGAATGGTATCACCTGGACACATAATTTGAAACCGAACAGGAGTATCTGAGTTTGTCCTAAGACACTTAAATATAATCTTTTAGATAGACATTCATGTTAACTACATGTGCATCCCTCAGAACTATTGTTTAGATTGTCAGAACGATCAGACATGCTAATTCCTATCCATGCTCCCTCACTTGCAACATCCCCTTGAGAAAAGTTTGTCAGTTTGGAAACTGAGCTCATATATTCCATGTACCCCATAGTTCTTAAGAGTTGGCCTAACCATAAGAGCTTTGAGCTGGCATCCTTTTTGCCAGATCTCAATGAAAACTCTTTAGAGGACAATCCATCTACATCAAGCTTCAAAACACAGAAGTAGTATATTCTTTTTTTGTAGCACTCAAATGGAATTAAATTAAAATACTTCATTAACTACCCATAAAGACTGTGAAAAAAACCCCAATGCATTTACATCACAAAAATGCCAAAAAGATGATGAAAAGAAAAAAAAAAAAAAGCTACTTTTAAAAATATTTGCTAAAACAAGGGAGGGATGGAATTCCTGACCTGAAAGCCCTTATATAAATAGAAATTTGCTGACTGAAGACTCTTTCAAGAAATACTAGCAATTTTACTAGCAATTTGCAACCTGCAGACCTCTCAAATTTGTGGAGGGTGAAACATTTTAAATATCGAAATTCATTTCTCCATCAAAATCACCTGAAATCCCTTTTTCTCATTGGCAAATGACATACCATACTATTTACTTAATCAATAATATTTATGTGAACCTCAAATGCTTGTGGAAAGATAATGTCTTCAGGGGGATGGCAGGTTTATTTACTCTGATGAGTTGGTTCAGTTGGAATTGCTCTGGCCAGCACATTCTGATTTTTAAACTCTTAACTATTGTAACTGTTAGGCACAGGCAGAGGTGGATGCTTACTAAACATTTTGAAAAGCATTTCTGAGAATAAGAAAAAATAATCTGAGCAGTGACAACATAGAGTTTTAAATGACTTCTGTCGTCAATTAAAAAAAAAGCATAAAGAAAAATTAGAAGAAAAACAATGAGTAGGAAAATAATTTGAAATAGTTTGTAGAATTATATCCTTTGTATCTGTAAGAATTCAAAGAGAACATCCAAAATTGCTTCTAGGAAATCCATATTTGAAAATTCTACTTGCAAAATTTGACAGAAAGGAGTATAACTATTTTCAGTTAACAAAATTAACAGCAATTACTTATTTATTCTTCCCACTGCCACACAGAAATTAGCTCAGTGCATACTAAATGGAAGAGGTATCAAAGATTCTCAAGATCCAGCTTTATAAAAGCAATCATAAAGCAGAAATGAAGCTCCTACAACATATACACCATCACTAGTAAAGTGTTATAGTTCAATGGAACTCAGGGCATAACAAAAGAAACCCTATCTGAAATAGTTTAATCATATATGGGAGGTAAACACTGTCATAATATAATTTTGGGATAAAGAATCAATTTTAAACAATTATATCAAAATGATATAATTGACAAAGACATGACTCAGCCAGTAACGTATCAAATTTTGGCAACGATGCTCATCTTCACAGCAACTATGTATGTATGAACAAAGATTTGTGCTAAGGCTTTCATTGAACTTAGTTGCTTATAAGTCAAAAAATAGATTTATTCATTCAAACAAAAGAACTCAATGTAATTTCATAAATACTGAAGAGAAACATTTTCATATCATCTGAAACTTCTTTTATAATTCCTCTTCCAAAAACCTACTCCAAAGTATACATTTGTTATATCAAAATAGATATTTTCAGGAAATTTCAACCAAAATGGTGACTTCTATTTTGCCTTTTTTTTTTTTTTTTGAGTAGAAAGATTGACTAGATATTAACACAAATGGGTTTAAATGTGAAGCTGCCATAAAAGCAGGCACATAAATGTAATTCTCCCAGCCGCTATTTTGATGCACATTTTTGATTCCATGAATATTTTATGAAATGGCCCAAACTAAAGCCATATAACATTCCTGCATTACTGATGCTTGCGCCCGTAAGCTACAAACATTAGAGGCATGATTGAGTGCATTAAAATGAACTCATTCAGCAGTGCATTGATTACTTGAAGGAGGGAAGAAAAAAAAAAAAAAGAGTTACTCCCACTTAAGAAAACAGCACACAAACCTGAAGTTTTCAGTACAGAAATTAAAGATAGCAGATTTGAATAATACGGTATTGAATAAATAAATTCAGTGCAAAACTGTCTAGAGTTCTTTATACACAATTCTGACATTAATTAGGTGAGATGTTAATTAGGTCCACAGATCGCTTCCAGTAGTGAACAGGTAATTTAAAATGTCACAATCTGCAAAATGCAGTGACTGACCTGTTCTAGCTCCATGCCTCAGCAGTACTGAGAGCACCTAATGATTTCCTTTTCTACCAGCTTGTACATTTACCAATGAAAATAATGCCACAGAAACAATTGCATAAAAAAGTGACAGGCCTGTTAGGTACATTTCTTCAGCAGCACTGGTATATGCAGAAAGCACATTTAATTTTAAATTGTAAACATTTGTTGAGGACTTTAGAAAACATTCCACTTCAGCTTAAAACAACAACCAAAAGGAACAATAAAGCTTTACATATATATTGCAGCATATTTTAGTCTAGAAGTAGGATATCTTTTGTAATCATTTCTTTCAACCATACCGTGTGGACATAAACTCTGCTTGAAGCAACAGATAATGGTAGAAAAAAAAAAAAGGAAAAAAATGTTATTACCATTTAAGAAGATACATGTTTACATTTCATTTTAACTGCTTGAACTATTTGTATTGTTTTTATTTCTGACATTCAGTTATGATAACTATGCTAGCACTATTCAGGCTGGAATTGTTAAAAATCTTGCAGTTTCCAATGTGAGCCACTATCTACAGAGTTTATAAGTCTTCAACACGCACTGGACGGTCAAACAAAA